CTCAAGCAAATCGTCAATGCGAGGTAGAGGCCCCGCGTTCTTGATGGTTTGCGCGTTGAGGCGTCGGTAGTCAATGCAAAGTCGAAGGTCCTTGTTCTTCTTCCGAACGAAGAGAACGGGCGCACCGTAAGGTGAGCTGCTAGGGCGTATCCAACCCTTGTCAAGTAGATCGTCGAGTTGCGCATGGAGAACCGTGAGCTCCTCCTCGGACACGGAATAAATGTATCCCTTCGGTGGCACGGCGCCGGCCTCAAATATGATCTCGTGAGAGATTGGCCGGTCCGGCACTATACCGGAGGGTGTCTAAAAAACATCTGAGAACTCGTCTAATAACCGGGTCACACGGGGGTCGGAAGACACATCCGTGGATGATGAATCGGTCGTCGGGATGGTTCGAAGAAAAGCGATGCCAATCTCTTCGACATGCTCGGAACGGCATGTGTCTCCAAAAGATTTGGCACTCACGATTTGGCACCGAATGGAAGAGCGCGGAGGAGGAATAGCACACGGGACCTCGGCGCCAGTTGCATCACGAATTGTGAGCATGCGTCGATGGAAATTGACCGTGTGGTCCGCGCTAGAAAGCCAAGGCATCCCCAAAATGACATCGAAGTCGGTGTCCAACACGTCAAAAGTGACGGGTTCACATGCGTGCGGTGCAAAGTACACCGGGACAGCCGAAATGTAACGGTTTAAAAGCTGTTTCGTCTTACCGTCGGCAAGAGCGACCGTCGTTGGATGTGACTTCCTCCGTACTTGTGCGCCAAGGCCAGCCCGAGTCATGAAGGACTGGCTGATGAAGTTGCGAGTTGCGCCGCAATCTAGCAAAGCGTTGCAGGCCGCTTGCCCAATTTGAATGTGAATGTAGAGCAACGGTGCGTTGTTTTCTTCGTACCGTTGTGAGACAAACTCGCGGGCCACCTTGGCAACATAGCCAAGCATGTCCCCCACCGCGACTTCGTCTACCGYCGGCGAAGTTGGTGGTGCATGGAAGGAAAGATACTCGTGTAAGAGAGCGCATAGTGTTGCGCTTTGCGGCCTCGAAAGGTTGCTCGTCGTAGGGAGAGGAATCCAAGCGAAGTCCTCGGGCGTGAGTGGGTCCAAGACCTCCTCGTTGAACGTGCTTACCGAATCCCTTGATGAAGACGAACTGGCGGAGAAACCTTCGGACGGTGAGAAAGCCGCACATGTATCTTGTCCTTGAGAAGCATCCGGTGAAGGAACGAGCCGGGCAGCGAAGTCTTCGAACGAAAGTGGAAGACTCCCGACATCCGCATATGCCTCGAAAGAAAGGGCGGTCGTGCGCACAACCGCTTCCGATGGCGTCGAGGGAGGTGTCGAGTCACCCTCGGCGRCGCCTACWTYCCCTGACRGGGTTTCCCCTTGGTGGGGCAATGTGCAGCATCGTGGATGGTGYTGTTGCACCAAAGGCAGTWACGGTACTTGAGTCTCGTGCGATAAGAATTCGCCGAGAGTCYGTATTGTGCCCAAGGTTCGTCGGCGGCTGATCCGGTGCTCGGTGTAGAGGTGGACTGAGTCTTCGTCTTGTCGCGGCCGTGGTTGTTGCGCAGCCGGCCACCATCCCGGGCAGCTGCCAACACTTAACCCTCGTTTGGTGTTGCAGCCTCGGTGGAAGTAATGCAAGCCACCTTTGGCTTGAGCTGGGTGCCGCTCGTCGTCGCGGAAGATCGGCCGGCGTTGAGGGCTTCGATATTCGTGAGAATGATGCGTGACGCTGTGCTGAAAATCTTGTGAGATGTGTCGAGTGTCTCTGCAATCTGCGTCAGTGCGTTTTGCAGAGCTAGACATGAGTGCATGATAAACAAGTACTTGATGGCGCGGAATGCGAGTGGCAGGTCAGGTGTGCAGGCGAGTCTTTGGAACTCGGTAATCCAGTCCTGACTGAGCAGCGTGTTCTGATGGAGCTTGTTGAGYTTGTCCATCGCTTGCAGGTCRGGCGGCTCCACTTGGAATCGCTTGTGCCAGGCGTCAGTCAACTCCTGCCAAGTGAGCTTGGTGTGCAGTTCCGACACTGCTACGCCGTGGCTGGTCAAGATGTTGTCTAGCCATGCTTGACACGCACCACCAGATCGGTGGAACAAACACGGATGCCGATCGTTGTTCGGGACATGGTGCATGTCGAGCCTAAGAGTGAACTGGCGCCACCACGGGATCAGTTCCGTCTTGGACTTATCACAGAAAACTGGAATGTCATCCAGTTTGGGTGGGCACCGGGAGGATGCGGCGGAGGGCGTTACGGTGGCAGCAGCCTGGACCTGCAGCTCCAACTGCAAGTTCGTTGCTTGTTGCGACGTCTTGAAATCCTGATGCACACGCTTGATATTGCTGAC